CTAATTCCTAAACCTAGCAAGAATCAGTCAACACTCAGAGGCTTTAGGATCATAACCCTACAAAACACCTGTAGTAAAGTGCTGGAGAAGATAGTGGCGGGTAAGCTACAAGAATTTTTGGAACAGAGAAATCTCCTTTCCCGAGGATTGGGAAGTTACCGGCCGGGGTAGGACACATGATCAAATGCAGCCACTTTTGCCTTTGATACCTTCGAAGGTTTCCAGATCTTGTTCTTGATCTTCTTTAGCATGTTCTTTAAATCGCTGAGCAAACAAGCAATTGGTAAACCTCTTGAGTTTTCAACCATTCTAGGGCGTTTGTCACAGCCATGACCTCCATTGTCATGCTGCTAGTGGTAAAAGCAAAGGCTTCACTGTCTTATTTGATGACTTTCCCTTTGCTTTTTACCATGAAAGCCCATGCACTTCGTTTCTGACGAATCACAGAACAATCTGTAAATATAACAGCATCTTCCGGTGATGTGTTTCATCCACCAATGCTTTCACTTCTGCATCAACTATTAGTGGTGCCAAATCACGGCACTGTCTTGTCAGGGTGATAACCACCACAAAGTACTGTTTGTATTCAAGTGATATGGGTATCCATAGCTCACCGCGGTTTATGTCGTGAAGGAAAATCACGCGACTGGCCTGTTTTAAGTCTGTTGCATTTACGCGTATTTAGTTCATCGTGCAATGAATGTGTAAAAATCCTTAGTGATTTTGAGGTAGGCGCACTTCTAGCCTGCTGATTACATATGGAGGATCTAGAAGGTATATTCAACAGTTATTACAGAGATGACTGTCGCCAGTGATATCTGCATAAAGAAGCTCGGAATTCGAAGGAGATGAATACGAAATGTTTGTTGGGGTGGGGGGGGGGGGTGCTTTTAAATCCTAATTTACAATTTTAACATATTTTCCACTGTCACAAGTTTTTTTAATATTCAAGTAGGGGCATCCTTGTGAATGCTATTTCTCGCAACCGAGTAAACAATGTTGAATATCATTTGTTACTGCATATATTTTCATTAGAATATTTCATAATGCGTCTTCAATTTGAAATTTTGTTTACTTTTTTGTGTGTCCCATTGCTGTTTATTTGGCAATTTGAAGTTACCTTTGAACTGCCATTGTTGCCTGTATTTGGTAGCCACTGTGTGTAGCGGCTAAACAATCGCCTGCAGATCCGTAGGTTATGGGTTCAAGTCTGACGGGGCATGATTTTTTTTTAAATAATGACCTTAGCTTCCAGGTTGACCCAGTCTTGCATGGATGCGAGGTACAGTCCTGGAAAGCAAAGGCTGTCGGTGTGATGTTGACGGCATCACCCACTGAGTTCTGACTGGCCTATAAAAATATAGGTCGAGCCCTATGTGCCCAATACGACTGAAGCTGTGGAAATGGTCATTTACTGGTTTATTTTACCTGTATTTACCATGTTTGCGATGAATTAGGGTCGCATGGCTAGTGTTGTCACGACGGACTGTGCAGGTTAGGATTTTGATTTTGTCCCCAACAATCCCCCCTTTTTTTCTTTTAACTGGGGATCCGAACTTGAGTCTCAAGCATGAAAGCCCTGCGTCGGTAACTGTTCGGACAGCCGCTCTCGCCTTTACTAGGTAAGTTAGTTGCGTATCCTTTACAGGACATTGCAGAACCAACCCGAGTATTTTTTTGGCTGTTGTGGTTTTTATAGTCAAATTTAGGTTCAGTAGTTCCTTTACTAGGAGCTACCACACACAAAAATTCAGTTTCCCATTCGCAAAGCTAGAGGTTGTATTAAACACATGACGATAGTCCCACATGTAGGTTCTCTGTTGAGTTAGAACTTACATGTTTATAGTATAGTGCAAGGCAACTAGGACAGAAGTTATATAACAAATCATTCCTGGTTCCAACAAAAATCGCGCAACGCCACTTAATCTTTAACTTCTTCTTTGTTCACCAGCTGTAAGCTGCAGCGGAAAGTACTTATTGTTTGTCCATATGGACTTTGGCTTCTGAATAGTCAACAGCGAAAATAGCAGTGGTCTTTCTGCCTGAGCCTATGTCAGTTCAACAAGCAATTGTGAACACATAAGAGACGCAGTTGAAGCTTGACGCAACAGATGCTTCAGTTAAGGCTCTTGAGCAGAAAAATCTGCAGTATGTTCCAGGTCACCGTGGCTTGGAAATAACGGAACAGATTTAAACAGTCCATCTTTTTCCAGTTAATTACAGTATCAGGTTTTTAAAATATATATTTACCACTTTGCTTACTCTATTACGTTGTTTAACGTCTGCTCACTTTCTGCTAGTAACACTGAGTATATCCCAGATTGTGTAAATCTTTAATCGATATTCAGTCTAGGTAAATTTGCCAACTTGTTTTAAAAATGATTTCTATTGTGGTGCTTTGTTCCCTGGCAAAGTCCATCGGTTTTGTGCCAGAGCCTGAATATTTTTCCGTTTTACTGGCTTTGCAGTTGGTTGTTCCTTACTGCTCGGTCAAATGATGCTCCCACCAGTCAACCACTACACGCTGAGTAGGTTTATTACCCCCCCCCCCCCCCCACATTGAGGTCCCAGAACTGGTACTACTGTATTAATTGGGAAAGGTGTAAGAATAGCAAAGATTCTTGCCTGTGGTGAGTATGTGTCGAATATTGAATATTGCTATCTGGTTCCAAAAGGCAGACATGAGAGCAATCTATTGAATATAATAGATGTCAATATCTTATTTATAGATCAAGAGAAGGCGTTCAACCGAGTCAGCAGATGAAAACTGGCACATTCTAGAATATGATAATGACGATCAACTGTTACCAAGATAGTCAGTGCACAGAAAGAACAAAAAGAATGACAGACTTGGTTTCCTATCTAATCAGGTGCCAGGGATGTGCCCTCTCACCATTGCTTTTCCCTACTTACATGGACAGAAAAACACGAAGCAAATCCAGACACTGAAGAAATCAATGAACTTGTTGCAGAGATTAATGTCTAATACACCACCAAGAATATAATTTTACAACATCATTTGACTCCTTATATCAAGCTAGTGCACAAAGTATGACATGAGAAAAAAAACCACAAAAACTGAGGAAATGATAGGCAGGAAACATAATAGCAAAAATGTTCATGGTACAATCAAGTACGAGAATTCAAACATCTAGGAAGCATTTTTACGGAGGAGGATGGCAGACTCGATATGGTTAGCGTATCCTTTACAGGATGTTGCAAAACCAACCCCAGCTTTATTACTACTTTCAGTAGTTTGACATACACACTAGAGACAGGGTTATGAATAACAGCATTAGAGAGAAAGCTGTAGTAAGACCATGTCTGGATTATACTAACAGACAAATTTATTGGTTTAGTGGATTATACTAACAGACAAATTTATTGGTTTAGCTATCTAGTGAGAATGCTGCCAGACCAGACTGCATGAGACTTTTTACAGGAGAACATCTGGGAGGAAGGCGAGAGGGAAACCAAGAAAGACATGGATAAATTAAATCTGCAAAAAAGTTGAACAAATCCATCACACAAGACAAATACAGAAAACCACAACACTGGGCTGGCCAAATACAGAAAACTAAGACACTGGGCTATAATATGGTAACACTAAGAGGACACAAGAAGAACCACTTCATGTGCATACTACTGCTATAGGCACATTTTAAACAAGCTTTACCCCCCCCCCCCCCACATAATGTCTAAACAAGCTAGGTCTTTCTAACCCTTTTCTCCTTACTCCAACTATATAAACAAGTTGTAAGTCGTTGCATCAACTAAAGAGTTAAGTTACACATATTACATGTTTACAAATAAGTATATGCACAGCTCTCCTGTCATCCACTGTGCCGCTACAAAAAAAAATTATAAAATGTACAAGCTAGACTTAAAGGAGAAGGGAGCTTCCAAAGCAAACAAAAGAACTCATTTCTTCATACAAATTTTTTTTTAATCTAAGAAATACTACAGAAAATGTGTCGGGACACCTAAAGGAAGCATTCACCTAAGATACCATTACCAAACAGAGGATTACAGTAAAGAGAATTCATGATGTGTGTAAACAATATTTGACTGCAGAACCAAACTGGTTAAATGTGAGCAAATTTTGTATCTTCTGTAAAAATGTACCTCATCCTGTACCAAGCCAGATACACCAACTATGGCCCCAAAAAAAAAAAAAAACTAGTGCGTGAAACATTTTAGTCAACAATACACATTGATATTTGTTTGGCATATAAGCGTGGTACAAGATGGGTTACATTCTTACAACTGTCTGAAATATGGAATTTTCCATGGTTTACTTACAAAGGACAAATGGCAAAACCGTCAGGACAAACAAAACAACAAAGAATATCTATTTAAACAGGTTACAATTTTTTTTTATTAACTGACACTACGCAGGACACAACTCAGTACACTTCTTCCACACAGTCATTCTGTATAAAAGCACACTAGGAACAGGTGGAAACAAACAGTGAATAAATTAGCTGATGTACAAATTATCTTCCTGTGTGAAATAATGCACTAAGTAGTCTAAAGCCTCTTGTTCTATATGATCTAGTGTGCTGCAAATCAGTAGCATGAAACATCAGTAACCTGCAAACCAATCTTGAAACAGAGCAGACACAAAAATATAAAAACAAAATTTGAAACAAAACTACTTTGTAAAACCTTGCTATAATATATTTTGTATCTGTAAGTCCTAATGGACACTTTCTATGTTCTACAAAGATTACGACCTAGAAACAAATTCACTGAGTTATAACTTTTTTTAAAAGGAAAAGCAAGCACACCAGAACAAAGCAAATTTTACAACTAATAAATTAGAACCAAAATATGTTTTAGTTAACTTTACTGTGGTTAATATATCTGAGGGGGGAAAAGGTCATACAGACACTTCCACCCTAAACATTCATTGCAACACACATCAATATTTCCTAATCTCTGCTATGATCACAGCAATGGCTAATGACAATTTTCTAGCGTCTGCTGATGTTACGTGATTACTTGGCAACACGGAAGCCGATGTACAATTCCTTGAACTTGTCAAAGCCAGCCAGGACACCAGCGCCGGCCACACCTCTCAGGATGTTAGCTCCTGCTCCCTTCATCATGGACATGAAGCCTTCATTCCTGATGATCTGGAGGGCACAATCGATGGATCCCTTGTATTTGACAGCCTGGCCGGAAGTCATCATCATGCGACGACGGATGGTGTCAATGGGATATGACAACAGCCCGGAGGACACAGTGACAGTGTAGCCCAGTAAAAAGGACAGGAACACGCTGGCATCATCAGCCATCAGAATTGGCTTCAAGCTGTCATAAAGACCGAAATAGAAGCCTCTGTACACAACAATGCCCACGCAGGAGATGACAAAACCTCTGTACAGGCCCACAAAGCCATCAGACTTCAGGGTCTTGGTATACACATCAATCATACCAGTGAACTGGCGCTCACCGCCACCCTTGCCAGCTATTTTGGCATCATTGGCCAATCGGGTTCTGGCATAATCAAGAGAGTAGACAAAGCACAAAGAAAGAGCTCCAGCGGCTCCTCCTGAAAATATATTCTTTGTGAATTTGATAACGTAGGACTCATTCGGTGATGACTTGAAAGCTGCCTTGATTGTATCCTTGAAAGCAAAGTTGAGTGCCTGGGTGGGGAAGTATCTCAAGCAGTTGGCCAAGTTTCCTCTCCAAAATGGCAGAATACCCTCTGTTTTAAAGGTACGAACAGTGCAGTCAATGATACCTTTGTATGGCTCTGACAATCGACCAGCTTTGATCATCTCATCTTGGTTCTGAACAAGAAGCTTGATTCTTTCAATGGGAGCAGCTGCAGTTTTTGAAATGACAGCTGCTGCACCAGAAAGGGCAAAGTTTTCCACAAACCCTAACTTCACTTTTTGTCCTGACATCTGAAAACACAAACCAAAAGAAAAAGGCATAAGAAAGAATTATTTTTCTGCAAGAGACATGAGCACAGTTGATTTTAAAATGTATTTCTTCTCGTCCAATATATCTTCAAAGCTGGTGTAAGTATGACAAGTTTGCTTTATTGATGGTTATTTTTGCAGCTTTATTTTGTCTATGACTTTAAAAAATGTGCATAGTATATTAGATGAGGAATCAGGTAGCATGTCCATTAACCAGTAGACATATGCAACGGACCTTGAGCCTGTATCTACACTTTATCATCTGACGTCCAAACATGGAGTAACAAAAATCTTTTAATGATAAATGCCTCCCCTCTCAATGGTTTTTTTTTTTAAGGAGACCATGCAGACAATGTTTTATTTTTAAAAATGGTCTGTAAAGGAGGTTGGTTCACTAAGACAACGGCCAACAGCAGGCTCAGCATTATGCACGAGACCAGGTGAACTTCCATCTGCAAATTCTAAGATATCCCATAACTATACATCTGAGGTTTCAGATACTGAACAAGCTGCACATATTTAATGATCCGCATCTGAATAAGCTCATCAAGTTAAGACACCACACAAACTGAATCCAGAAATGAAAGCAGGGGGTGGAATAATGCAAAAAGAAAATGGAACCAAACAAGGGAACAGTATCAACGTAACAATGGCTACTATACTATAAACCAGAAGATGCTCTCTATTTCTCAGAAGAAAATCAAATGTAAGATGAAAGGAACACAGCAGAAACAGCCATATGAAGTTCATGTGGGTAGGTGACCCTTTCTTTAAAGAACTGGACATCACAGAAAACTGCAAAATCTTAACTCAGCAAGTGTAGAAAGAAACAGCTTAGTTAAATGAGACCTGTAATTATACTGAAGTCCAAAAAAAAATCCACTAATACCTAATGAAGTTACAGCTAATATAAAACTAAAAACGACACCTGAAATGTTCCCATAAAAACATCTGCAACCATATTTTACTAAAAATTACTCAATGTACAGGCGACATGTAGAGTTACCATTCAAATTTTAACTAGAGAAAAAGGTGTTTGTATTAACCCAGTTCTTGGTGTGACACAGCTGTGGCTTTCATGTGGCATCTTTTCTCCTGTGCCCACAGAAGTTTTGTGTTCAAAACTTGTTAAAAGCACTGAAATTGTGAAGGGCTGTTTTAAATGGCACGTACTTATGCAGTATTTGTTGATTGCCAGCTTTCCTGATCTGACTGCTTGCAAAACAGCAAGCTGCAATTCTGGTGGGGAAAAAGTGCTAGCACATCTTACAACTGCACTATGCATTTACATTGTGTGTGCAGGCTTCAAGATTTTGCTGGAATTATTTTGATAATACACTACACAATTAGCTATTTGTTTTCAACTAATAAATCAGACAGATGACTGCATAAAACAGGATGGCAAACATACAGGGCCTCACTAATGAGGGCATATGCCTTCATTAAACAAAAATTTTCATTCTGCCAGACCCACTGTGGCCTTCAACTTTTCTGCTGCTGAAGAACCCACTAAAGTTACAATCGTTGAAAACTGGATGTTTTCTTAACTGCTTCTAATCTATACGGGGGGGGGGGGGGGGGGGGGGGGGGGTTGGATCTTTCCCGGCCACAAAGGATTTAGGGGTGTTTGCAACCTGCAGAGGAAACAAAGAACACAGGTGGATTGCCCAGTTAAGTAAGGAAGGTAAAAGGCACAGCATTTAGGAAAAGGAATGATCTGACAATTTGGGGCGGGGGGGGGGGGGGATTTGATGATTGGAAGATTCCAGTTGTGCTTGCTTTTGTTGAATTTCAGATTTCAGTGTCAAATTTCTTTCGTTGCCTTCACAAAGTTTACTAAACCCTATGTAAATACTAACAGTAACAGGATTTGAAACAGTGGGAGCTTCCCTGCAAGAAACTTACTTTTACTTTTATAGGTAAAACAAGAATAGACCCACTGCCTACCCAAAAGCATGTCGTAAGAGTCGGCTAATTGGGAGCTTCCTTTAAAGTAAGAGTGCATCTGCCTGGAAGGCAAGGAACTAACATGTAACAGTCTGCATACAAATTAGTCACATCTATAATCTATCAAACAGATGCACATGCAACACTCAAGTTCTTGAACAGGACTGCAGTCCAGAAGGTGAACAACCAGAACTTTCCGCCAGAGTTTACAGCTGGTAAATGAGAAGAAAAAGAAATTGAAACAAAAAAATTCCCAAACCTGGAACCATTTCTTCCCTTTTGGTACTTATGTGAAAAATGACGTAGCTAAGATACCGGTTACCGAGTCTTACTCTCCCAAAGACCTGTCAAATACATTATTCAACATTTTCCATTACATTAGTGGACAGACTTTTCGTCAACTATTTTTCCTATCTTAAATCATTTACCGAAGACCGTCGATTCTAAATAACTAACCAAATTTGTCACTGACTGGTAGCTTTGACCGAAATGATCTTGACGAGTTCCGCCATGAGTTTTTTTTTCCACATACGTAAAAACTTTGGGATATGACAAATTCCAGTTGTCAGAAAGGATAATTTGTCTGCAGACAACAAAAGTGAACAACCAACAGTAACATGTTTGATATGTCATAATATATTTACCTTTCTGGATTCTCAAACTTGTTCAAATTAGACAAATTGATCGACCTCAGAGCCGTTAACCACGTTGTGAGGGTGGCAGAGAATGAAGAGGGCGAGAGCCAGGATATTCACCTATAAAGAGGATTGGTAATGCCAAGTCATGTGACTTTAACTCGAGAGATGATTGGCCGATGCTGAAGGTCTAAAAGGTCGGCATTTATTTCCGAGCAGTGGTCACGAGAATAGGACCATTCCAAGTACCAATTTAATTTATCCACTAACAAAAATTACAACTAAATATTTTTTAAAATCTGCAACGATTTTTTGCTCACTAATTCCTTACAGCCCGACTTAATTTGAAACTTTGATATTTTTTAACTCCTGAAATCAATTTATTAATAGCGGATGAAACCGGCAGGCAGGCATGTCGGTCATGCTAATGTCCTTTCAATGTGACTTTGGTTTGGACGGTATGCATTCGCTTTTTCACATTTCCAGGGTGTTCAAGCTACGAATCTCACCGGCGTCAGCATGGAACAACTTTGGTGCTTCAGATCTTTTTTCAGATTCACCATCCGCAATTGTCTTGTCGACTGGCATGGGCGACCGTGCTTTTCCTTTTCCAACTATCTCCACCAGCATATTTCAATTCGTTAGCCGACACACGGAAAGAACTCAGTGATTTCTTTTTGCCTTTCTGTATCTATGTCTTTAAAAAATCTTTATAGTTGTCACACATTCCACTGTTTCTCTTCTCATGACAGTACGGAACCTCCCCCCGTGTGAGTTCTGGGGCCCTACTATAGGAAAAACAAGAATAGACCCACTGCCTCCCCAAAAGCATGTCGTAAGAGTCGACTAATTGGGAGGAGCTTCCTTCGAAGTCGGAGTGCATCTGCCTGAGAGGCAAGGAACCAACAGACTGCATACAGATCTGTCAAACGGATGCACGCGCAACACTCAGGTTCTGGAACAGGACTGCAGTCCAGAAGTGGACGAACAACCAGAACTTTCCGCCGGAGTTCACAGCCGGTGAACGCGAAGAAGAAGAAGTACTTAGCCCCCTCCCCTCTCCCCAATTATGGCTTTCATTCTTATGTTTGATATTGTTTTGAGCATTCAATTACACGTCTCTGATAAATGTGTTTTTGTCTCCCTAGATGTAAATAATTTGCCTATGTTGTCTTGTGGAGCATAGTTTAGCTATTCCATTTCTCTGTTTTGCTTCTGTTTCACTGCTGCCATATTATTATTTATTACATTTTCAAGATAGGAGAAGCTTGTTACGTTTCTTCTTCTTCTAGTGTTCGCTTTCCGATTTACACTGACAGACAAATTCTTGTGATAAAATTGACTGTTTCTATGAGTTCTCTTTTAAGTGCAACGTTGAATCATTGGGCCAGTATTTCCTTCTTAATGATTAGGGTGGTAACGGGCGAAAACAATTGTCGACGGAGGATCTTCTACTGATGACCGGTAGACTCCTACTGTGTATGCTCCCCTTTGAAGTCTTCTTATATTATTACTAACCTAGAAATAGGCTTGACGTCTTCCTCCGAAGTCGGAGTACATCTGCCGGAGAGGCGGGGAACGAGAACTGCAAACAAATAAGCCAGTAAAACGGATGTACACGCAAAACTCAGGTCAAGGTAAAAGCCAAAAGTCCATTTTGGACGAACAACCGCGACTTACCGCCGGAATTCACAGCCGGTGAACAAGAAGAAGAAGAAGAATATTATTACTAATAGGCTGTACAAAGGACATTCTTGCAGGGCATGTTCTGCAATCTACACATACAGCCCTGGTAATGTTAGTTTCCGCTTCATAGCAAACGGGTCATCCCAAAGTTGCTCCGCTCCTGTGCCAACGAAAAACACACAGAATGTTTATCACAGTCCCTTGTGGAAATATTGACAGACTTCTGTCTCAGCATATGCACTAGAATACACACGCATTAAAAGCCATCCGAAATGTTAACACAAACAGTCCGACATTAGAAATGCAGTTCATAATCGACGGTAGCAGAAGTCACCAACAGATCAGCAGTTGCACACGCGATTAATTTTAATCACATAATTGCATCTCCAATATTGCGACAACAGACATCTCGCCATTTTCTGAATCTACAATTCATACCACCACGTTGGTCACAGTAGAAAAACATTCCAAATGAAATCAGCAGCTCATAGTGTCACGCCATGCACTCAATAGCTGGGAGACGAAACTGTCCTTTCAGTCTACAAATGGAGCAAAAATGAACCGGCCACCGTCTGGTAGAAGCAAAAAATATTTGCTACGGCTCACAACAGTGACTGTGCATTTTGACCAGAAGTACAGCCCATAAGGGCACACTGGTGAACTGCTTAGATTACACTATTACCTTTCGAATATTTTGGTGTTTGTGGCTTAGGC